TCGTGGATTTAAGTGCATGCTAATACATCGATCAGTCAGAACCACAAGAGCTTTTTGGACACGGGAAGCTTGAACTACAGATTAAACTGTGATTAAAGATGGATGGATGGATGGATTTGTAAAATTTATTCCAGCTCATAATTTGTGACTTACTAATCAGCAAGTAGGATTTTGCAGTTACTGACCGCAGAGAGGAAGTGTTCAATTTCAACACAGCTCCTGTCTTGAATTACCCATCATTCTACACAGGAAGTCATCCCTTAGAGCAGCTCATTGGCTGTTAATTGTTTCCTGTTATACCAAAGTGGTACGATTGGGTCACGCAGTGCACAGATGATATAAACAACACCTTCCGTTGGGTTTTACACTTTGCGTTGCACATGTTTCAGTACTGGTGTGCAGTTTATTTACTCCCGATGACAGAAAAAGTACTTTTTATGTAAGACGCAAAGATGAATTTGACTTTTGTGTTTGTGCATGTTGCCCCTCTGTGTGTGTGTGTGTGTTGTTATTTCTGTGTTGAGTGTGTATGCTGATTGACACGTGTAAAGCTGTCAGGAGAAGCTCAGGGGCATCCACAAAAGGAACAATTGGTACATAATTGCTGTAATAATCACTATGAAACAACTTTAATGTGGCTCTTAGTGCTTTTCACCAGCAGGATGCACATGTGCCTGAGCGCACCATTAATGCTAATCAAGGGGATTAGATGTACACTTTGTGTAGCATGTAAATGCGTCTGCCATTACTGAGCGGGTGAAAACCTCTAACTGCAACCTAATAACACGCTTTGGTTCAGCCAATCAGGGTTTTTTGTTCAAATTGAGTCATCAACTTCTGAGCGTGTCGGAGGAGAGCGTGACAAGGAGACTCTTTGGTGTTTTAGCTGCTATCTCTGGAGCACTTCAATCTGAAGGATTACTGCTGTGAATGTATGAGGGATGATTTTACTCCAGACCTACCGCTGTGCTTTGAATCTGGCTTACAGTTATCAGACAGACGAGTGCGCTGCAGATCGAATGCTTCATCATGTCCAACATGTAGGAGTGAATGTGTTGCTCCATAAAAATAAAAAAAAATGGGGCTCAAAATCAATCTTTTTCTGCTCCAGTGGTTGTAGGATGAGCACAGTCAACATTTAAACCAGGAGTGGACGTTTTGCCTGATAACCAGTTTACAAACTTTCCCATCGACCTTTCCCAGAAGTTACTTTGCCAGAAACAGACGTCAACAGATCTCAAATAGTCAAAGTGCCAGTTGAAGCAGAACGTGCTGAGTTTTCGCACATGCACAGTTTTGGCCACCAGGCCTTATCCCAGCTAACCACAGACTGTCCCACCTTGACAACCCCTCCCTTTTTTCCACCCCTTTTCTCCTCCCTCCTTTCTCTCTCCCCTGCTGTGGGTCTCCTCGGGCGCATGAATGGACGGCTTTATTCCCGGGAGAACTGGTGGGAAGAACGAGCGAACGAGGAACAGGGATACGTGGGGGTGAATGGGGTTGGGAGGGGAGGAGTAGGAGGGGGGGGGGGGGTGTCCGTGAGAGTGGCCACAAGATCAACACATTGCCACAGCTCCTCTTTTCTCCTCGATCGCTTTTCCCTCCTTTTCTCTACCCCC